TACCCTCACATTAACGGACAAAAAGAAACCAACATGGTACTTTACCTTACAAAGCAACACTTTCCGACCCCGGCAACGCCGGAGAATCTTTTCTAGTTAATAATTGAGAATGTATTCTCCCCTATGGGGTTTATGTGCAAGTCTGATTGGAGATATTTATGTTAAAATTAGATTAGTAGCAGTTCAATAAATTGCTTGTTTATAGGGATTGCAAATTTAAAGTCAAACTGTGATTTTGTTAAAAATCAAGTTTTATCTTTTTCTTTGTAATATTTCGTTTTTTATTTTTGACATATGGTTAGTTATAATATTTAACTAGATTATATCTCGCGTTAAACGTGGGGAACGCATAAAAACATACAAATGTCTACCGATATTGGATAATAATTATAAAAAAAATTATGGTTATTGGTATTATTGAAATGGATAAAAGATTGAAATCGATAAATATCTATAATCGTTGAAGGACCTCTTTGTATACAACATTTTTTGTTTTATAAGTTGAATGACATTCGTCGTCATATATGGTTATGATATTGTTATATAAGTATAAGTGTTCTAATTAGACATTCCTTCCATAATAAGGTTAGTTAATTTAAGCCTATATTGACAACCAATATACCGTTTTTTTTTCACAACATTAAATATTGACAACTATTTCATTTATTCAAATAAAGTCATACAATATAATTTATGGAATGTTAAATGTTATATGTATTTAATTTTAGTATATCATTAATGACAATTCTTTTCTAAATCATGATTGGTTTATTTTAAATTGATTATGAATATAAGTGCTAGCTTTTATGTTTGTTCTTATTTATTTGGTGTTCGCAAGAACTTTGCATTAGTCTTGTTGCAACTTTGAATAATTTTAGTATATCATCAATGTAATTGGGTATATCTTTCAATTATATGAAATATCAAATAGTGACATTTCATTACTATTGTGATAATTTTGGTTTATATATTGCATTTTTACTAATCTTAACGATCTTATTTTTTTTCTAATAGCCGTAACGCTTTTACTAATCGTACTTACAAATCTCATAATATCTTATAATTTTTATCTTAGTTTATAATTTTTCATAACTATGCTATTTTCAAGATTGCCTGTCTTAATAGCTTTTTTTTCTTCAGTCTATTCAATTTTATATTTCGTTGTACAACATCATCGTTTGTATGTATTCTGAAATTTCATTTTAAAAATGCTTGATGTTTACTTCTTGATATTTTTTTAATAAACTCGTGTAATTATTATGGAATATATATCTTGTTTGAATTAATATTTACTTCCTTCACTAAATTAAATTCCTCATTAAACAGATATATTTTGGAAAGTAATAATTATAATGGGGGCAACATTATCTAAGGCATAAATGTTTGATATACTTTTGGAGGGAAAGAATCGGGATCATTAAAAAATTTTATATAAAGAAAATACAAATTTCAATTGGGTGAAATTATGGATGAAATTACTGACGAAAATTATTTTGGAGGAATTGTATTTTGTAAAGTATAATACTATGACAAAATTCGAAATATGTATATTGTTGTGTAAATTTATAAATTTTATTGTTACTATATAAAGATAAAAAAAGTAGGTTGGTATGTTAAACAACAAAAATAATTTCAATGAACGTATGTAACTAAAAAGTGAAATTTGAAGATGAAAATTTAAAACTTAAAAGTATGAAGACATGTGATAAAAAAAATGTGTGAAAGAGCTCTAACCACATTTGACCAATTTGTTAGTGAGAAGATCATAAATGGACTCTTAATGATCAACGAATTATTTCTCGTATGACAAAAGGTGAATTCTATAATTTGTGGATTCGAAATGTTTTAAGTAATGCTAAAATAAACATGTATATTGAAGTGTAGATGAACATGTCATTTTCATGCAAACGACATGTTTTATGGTATCATGTAGAAAAATACTTTAGAAAATAAAATGTTTTAAACACATATACTTAACTTAGATCCTGATCAACCAGGTTCATCAACCGTTTCTCCCTTAATTTTGAATAATCACTTTTATGGGATTAGTCGACACAATCTGACCAAGAAAATATGGAGAAAAAAAATAAATGGTCATTATATTATAGATGTGTAATACAATAAATATTTATGTGTAGATAAGGTAGAATGTTAAAATAAAATCTTACCAAATACAACACGAGTGTCGAGATTCCTGGCTATCAAATCCTAGAAAGTCAAAAAATTATAAGGATCCACCATAATAACAAAATCATTTAATACACGAACTTTGGTTGTTTTGTAGAAATTATTCTTATGCTTATGATCAACCGGCATGTAATCTCCTTCATTTTTTGTCATATCAAAACTACTAATTTCCCTTAATGATCCTTCAACAAAGAGGGCTTCAAACGAACTAATGAGATTTATTTATTATTGCTTGTATTATAGTGCCATTTAAGTGAAAAAAAATTGGTTAAGTTTAAAATTTAATAAATTAAAAGCAATATAATAATAAAAATAAAAAATTGTACCTACTGATCAATTAAAATCATATCTAAGTAGCTGAACATGTTTGGGTTGTTTTTTAAGTTTGCTTCCAAAGCAAGAGTACTTGAACACGAATGCTTCAGGTTTCCTTAGATGCATCGATGTCAGCAACCTTATCAAAGACGATCGCATCACGATTGTTTTGTGCCATGGGTGTAAAATGAAAAAGAAAACAATTACAATTAGAAAGAACTTTTATATGAAATAAAAGGGACATATAAAGAGGTATGATTCATAAAGTGGTATGAAAACTATTATAGTTGTCAACAAAATTGTTTCCATACTTAATTTCAAAGGATGCATAAATAGATTATATATTATTTCCTATTAAATCAACCTAAAAGTGTAATAGGATCATACCAAAATATTTTAAAATGATACCAAAATTAACCGGGTTATTATGACATAATAATTAAAAAAAATCATAATCATCTCTATTATACAAAAATAACATTTTCCTAATTAGTGTCAATGCCAAAGATAGTTAAATTTTGTTTTGTTAAAGTTACATAATATATTTTCCTATTTATTTGAAAAGTTTCAGAAAAGTAGTTAACCGACTTCATGTAATTTGTGACAAAGAAAATCGAAATATATGAATACATATATTCGATATAGGAATAAAAAAATAATCGAGAAAAATATAAAAAGCGAAAGAAGGTACTGACCTTCTATTGCATAACAACGAAAGTTTGAAGCAGAGAATGATGATGAAAGTTATAGACAATAAGAATGATGTTGTAGGAGAATGTTTGAAGAAAAGCAATGACTGAAAATAAGTACGAGCCGCGGATTCAATGATGAATCGTATATGTATGTGATAATTTGAATATGATTTTTTGGTATTAATAATTTCCTAATAAAAACGGATTTTATATTAATGGTTTATTAATATAAACAAATTTATATTAATGGTTGATATTAATTCCTTAATTAAAATAGTTTGTTACTAATATGTTTTTAAAGTTAACCATATTAAAACCTTTATAACCGGAAATTCAAGATTTAAAATATGGGAAGATTTGATTGGAATTATATACATTACATTTCAACGGATGTAAGTTAATTTTGTTTGACAATTGGAAAGCTTTTATTAGAATAAAATACATTCAATTTGGGGAAGATAATGTCAGCAATTTGATCTAATGATAGAAAATATAGGATTGAAATACAGTTAACGCCTAGATTGTTTAAGATGATGTCATAAAGTTTCTTTTTTAATAATATTTAGAGATTAGTCAAAGAAAATGATATGATAAATATATATTCTTTTGGCTTCAAAATTATTATCCACATATAAAAAAAAGACATATAAATTAGGAAAAACATTAATTAACACTAATTTTATTAATTAAAATAATAGTCATACTTTTTGTTGTATATAATTTGATGGTTGTTGCATTTAATTTCATAATAGTTTAAATAATAATATGAGAATTTTGGTAAAAAAAAAATATTTATATTTAAAAATAAGTCATTATTTTCAGACAAACCAAAAAAAAAAAACAATAACTATTAATACGATACAGAATGAGTAATTTGATAACTTAGATGGAAATAAGCCCATTCATGACCCTTAAGAACTATAATGAATTGTAACTACGTATGTATATAGTGAAACGATATGTTGCAAACGAGCAAAACATCAATATTCACAAAGCAGCTAGAAATATGATTCGTGAATCAATCCTGAGCCTTATTTGGTGGGAACTGTGAATCCATATATCATAGATATTTTTCACGAAAATAATCATTTTTGCTAAAGTTTATCGGTTCAATTCAAGTCATGCAAAACATTTCCACGAGTTCATACTCATTTTCTGGTGATTATTGTAGTCATTTACTTAATATCTAGAAAATGATATTTTATGCTCAAACACTACCTTAAAATATGGTATTTTAGTTAATAACTCTTTTACTTTATCATAATTATAATTTTATAAGGACCATGATTAGTTTTTAATAAAAATGTGTATACAATAATTAAGATGTCATTGACTTGAAAATATAAGCTACTGTATACGGTTAGAATTGATAAGTCCCTTTCACGTCCTACAAAAGATGTAAGACTATATATGGTGCGTCACCACCACAACATTCTGGCATGACCATATACATCGTTTAGTCTCTTCTAAGGTAACGTATAGCACTCCGTGATCGCTACTAATGTTTGACAAATCCACGATGAAATTTATGAAAAATCTAACAAGATTAACATAAATTCCATAAATATTACGAAAAAAAATGGATCATAAATTCCTAATATGTTTATCTTAGATACTTTCATACATATACTAATTAATAATCTCATTTATAATAAAGAAGAAACTAAATGTCACTTTATTCACACTTCCCATTTCCATACAAGACTTGGTTAAATATCAACTTCATTCCCACGGACTAAATAGTCAACCATCTTTCCTAAGGCGAACAAACTGCTAGCTATCTACCACACCCTTAATAATGATAGCCTAATGATCTTCACCCTTGCTGACCTTCATGCCATATCCATCCCAGATATTCTCAGGATCACCCATCACAAACCTGTAATTACCATCATTCGGCTGATCGTTGGATGCAACCAGTCGTTCATTGTTGTGACGATAGCTTCCGACCTGATGGTGAATGGTGTGAGAAAGAGATTCGTTATTATGGTGACTATACGAGTTGGAACTTCTTGTATTCTCTTTTCTCTTTTTGGTTCTCATTAGGAAGTCATTTATGCTATCCCACTTCGTCTTGCATGTCACGCCATTCCTGCTGTAACCCAAACAAGCCATTTTTGTTGCAATTTCCTCCCAAAGAAGCTCTTGCATATACGCACCTTGTTCGAACCTACTTTCCATACTTGTTCGTAGCTGTATCAATCTTGTGATCTCATTTTCATCCCAACTCGTGAGATTTACAGCAGTTTGATCAATCTTCCCATGGTGATGATCTTGTAGGTTTTGTTCATCGGGAGAAGACTTATGACATGATTCTTTATCGGTTAACTTGTGCAAAGCCTCCATTAAAGCATGATCTCGGGACTCCATCCATGCTCGTTCGTTGGCCCAAAACTTGTGCTCTTTTTCGAACCTAGCAGCTTCTTCTTTCCTCCATTGTTCCTCTCGTAAAACCCTTTCTTCTTCCTTCTGTTCAATAGACTTCATCATCTTCTCCATCCATTCCTCTTGTTTCTCCATGATTTTCTTCATTTGGGAATCAATGAAGTCCTTGATCTTTGCCTTCCAACTCCTTTTTCCGAGCCTTTTCTTGTTAGTTGCCCTATCTCCACAATCCTTGTTTTCCATGAACGAAGGCATGGCTGTGTTTGGATTGCTGTAGCCAGATGAAGAAGTGCCGAAAGCAGAAGAATTGTTAGAGAGGCTAGGACTATCGTCACACAACCTGGAATGATCGGTTTGAAAAGGTTCTTGAAAACTACTATTATTTGGGTGTGGATGACCTTGAAAAGCACTAGTTTCAACATTAAAATTATGAGGATCCGAAAAAGGATGACGGGTTAGGGTTAGGATTCAGATTAGGACTAATACTAATGGTGGTTTCGCCATAAAGAGCTTCTAGTTGTCGAAAAAACCTGTAATGTTTCCCATCTTGTCTTCCAGCTTTTCCTTCTTTAGTCTTCTTGTAATACTTGTACAAGTTCTCAAACTTCTCTCTGCATTTTTTCCCACTTCGTTGATACCCATGTTCGTCAGACATTATCCTGAGAAAATAAAATAAAATAGAATATGAAGAATGTAAAATCAACTGGTTCATCAGAAAATTAATGACAAGAAAAGAGAAAAGATTGAAGTGATAGTGATTTTTGCTAAGGAGTACAAGTTTCATGTGGTTTCCTGGACTGAGCATACTATTAACCCCAAATTGGAGACTTTATGAATGGTAAGTTCTCGTAAGCCTTTTCTAGACTGAGCTAGTACTTTAGTTAACTGAAACAAGTGAAAAAGTCTGTCAAAAAAGAGAAAAAAATAAATAGCCTCAAAGCTATGGATTTCAGATCAGAAAACATAAATCACTTCAAAAAAAAAGTAGAAGATTAAAAGGTTTGTTTATGAAGGAAACATATGTAGAAGGCTAACGGTGATAGTTAGCTACATAAAGTAGCAAATAAAACAAGAAAAAGATTGAAATAGAGAATTTTTTTTTGACGGGAGTAGCAAATTATTGAGTTTCTTGCAGTTGGGTTGTATGATTTAGCGTTGTATAACAAAATTTCACCGAAAATACAATTGAACTCTACCCATGTATACCGAAATAATTTTCTTTGAACAATAGAAAAGATGAGGTCTTTAACAAAGCTAATGGTCAATATTTACGGAAACAACGGTCTGTGATAGTTTGGAGCGACAAAAAGAGAAAAAGCAAAGAAGTTTATGATGATGATAATGATGACGATGAAGATGATGGTGATGATGAGGAGGAACAAGAAAGATGTGTAGTAAGAAAATTATGAGAGAGAGAGATACCTTGAAACTTCATCCCACAAAGGACCTTTCTGATTAGCTTCTTTAAACTTAGAATCAAGCCTTGATCTGACCTCCAGAAGTGTTAGAGTTTCTTGCCTTGGCCACCTACCATTTCCACCACCACCACTACCACCACCAATTTCCATCTCTAAACCGCCACCAATTTCCATCTCTAAACCACCTCCACCACCAGCGCTAAGACTAGCAGTGGTTGAGCCTGTACCGGTGGTGGAATCTGATCGAAACATCATCCCACCACCACCTCCACCACCACCCATCATCACCATATCATAGTGAAGATCATGAGGAGGCTGCTGAGGCTGAGATGGTGGCTGAGGGACGGCGGTGAAGACTCTTCCGTTCATGTAGTGAGTCAGATCCGTTATCCCGTACTGTTCCTCCATTTCCTTAGGTCTTTTCGTTCTGCAAAAAAATTATCTTAAGATAAGGCTCCCACCCTCCTTCTTCACCTCTCTCTCTCTCTCTCTCTCTCTCTCTCTCTCTCTCTCTATTGAGAGGATGAGAGAGAGTGTGTGTGTCTGTGGGAAAGGTAGAAGGCAATTGTGAAAGGAGAAGGCGCGGCAGATCCGGATCGTGTCTTCACATGAAAAAGCTCTAAATTTATGTAGAGTACAACAATATTGGACCCATCTCAGTGTGATTTGAAGAATATACGAGTGTTTTCTTGTTTTCTTTGCAAAATGTAAGAAGTAGAGACCAGAGATGAGTAGTAATATGTATGTACTCTATGTATATATACTTAATATCTTTCAACTCTATTTCTCTCTCATCTAGAGAGAGAAAATCAAGAAACTTAACTCGAATCTGTATACTGTTTTGTAGCTTTTTATTTACACTATGACTTTTATGAGATTCAGGTAATCAGTAAAACGGGACATAGATATAACAACGAATATAATACACATAATTTAGGATAATAAAATAGCGTTATGAAAATCCAAATACGATCATTATATACGGAACCAATATGCATTGGATTCTCTTTTCGACTTTTCAACTTTTCTTTTGTCTATTTTGCTAGTTACTGGACTTAATTATGTTTCTATTATTTGGCAAAATTTACTCGTAGGATGTTTTATGTAAGCAGGCATATTAAGTGTAACAACCACTTCGTAAAATGAAAGAAGGTTACACACAAACCATGCATTCAATCGTATATTAGATGAGGCATATCATCTATGTATAACAAGCTTATTAATTTAACATGTGATGAATACGGTTAACGCTTGTCTTTTTTCGGGAAAACTTACTTGGTGAAAGGCGGTGCTTAGTGCTTACCAAAAAGCCTTTGACCTATCAGTAAGGAGTGACTCTCTTAAATTAGAGGTCATGATGTTGGGATTAAACACAATAAACATTGAAGTAAAGCAATAACATGAACATTACGTATCAAAGAGGAGAGATGTTTATACGTGTACTAAATATAGTCTTTATTGATCAAACAACAGTTACAACTACAATTACAAATACAATTCACACACACATACACACACATACATGTAGTAAACATCACAACATTTAATGAACCGATGTGACTTTTGACCCTAAAATATAACGATTCTAACAATAACTTTCTTCCCAACTATAACTGTCATCCTAAGTACATTACTTACTTCTTAAAATTACTAAAATAACCCTAAGTCTAGATTACATTTCCAACATTCCCCTTTAATCTAGACTTTTACCACTTCAACCAACAGGGCTATTTCTAGAATTTCACTTCTCCCATCATCTTTCTCAAATTTTTGTTGCCAATCATCATCTGCTTGTGTCTTGTGGTGTGAATCATCTTTCATTTCCACTGTTAACATATGTAGCATACCATCTTCCTTCTCATCTTTTGTTACTAGTTCATGAAAAGAAATTGTTGTGTTTTTCATAAGTTCCATAGTCATCTTTTCTTCCTCAAGCATACACTTGATATCCTTCACAAAACTAACCACAAACCTCAAAAAAGTCAGATAAAACTCATCATCGTGTTCATTTGGTTTCATTCGGAAACCCTCAAAATCATCAGTATGTTTGTCCATAATCTTTTCATAAGAGACATTCACACAATCATCCATTAAGTCATCATCATCATCATCATCATTGTATCACTGAAAAAATTTCCCAAAATATTTTCATATGAATCAAGAATCATACAATCACTAACATCAAAAACAAACTTTAATATTACTGAGATCTTTTCAACCCGGCCATCAATCCAAACTTCATCCATTTGATCACCTCTTTTCTTCAGTGATTTTTCTTGTCTTTTTTCCCTCTCCCCCTTCTGATCTTTCTTCCCGTTTCATGGATAATCCATTAAATCTGGAACATTGCCCTAATACCACTTTGTTGGGATTAAGCCCAAGAAACATTGAAGTAAAGCAATAACATGAACATTATGTATCAGAGAGGAGAGATGTTTATACGTGCACTAAATATAGTCTTTATTGATCAAGCATCAGTTACAATTACAAATACAATTGACACATACACCCCCCCCACACACACATACACACACACACACACACACACACATATATATATATATATATATATATATATATATATACGCGTCGTAAACATCACAAAAGTTAATGAACCGATGTGACTTTTGACCCCAAAATATAACGGTTCTAACAGTAGCTTTCTTCCCAACTGTAACTACCATCCTAACTGCATTACTTACTTCTTAAAATTACTAAAATAACCATAAGTATATATTAGATTACCAACAATGGGTTCAAGTCTCGTAGAAAACATAGATGGTATTTAGGTGTAGGTTAGCTATTTTGCCGTTTCTTCAATTTGTTGGAAAGGATCATAAACAAATTCTTTTAAGAAAGCTTTATATAGATCAGGAAAATATTTCGGTGGCAGAGAACAAAGTTCTGAATAGTAAGGTGAATATGGGCCTAATATACGTAGCTTCGCTCTTAGGAAATTGGTGGTGACAATTTTAGAGTAAATGTGGATCATTTTGTAAGGATGTTATCAACGATTTGTATGGGATTAATGGTAGTTTGGGGTGATTGGGGCCAAGTGCATATATATAGGTGAGGTTTTAACTACAAATAGCCATATTAAATTTCAGACGAAAGCATAATATAATATGTTGAGATGTGCAAACTGATAGTGAACCTCATTGTTGTGGTATACTCTTGTAGTGACAGGTTTAGCCATAACTGTGGTGCCGACGATGGCAACTACATTATTTGAGCAAGGCCTGCAGTGCCTGAGAGCAAGTTATGTGGTGTTTGAGGAAGTCTGTGGTGCTTGAAATATATATATGCTCAAAAACTATTTTAGAATGATATTTGCTAATAATATTTGATTATAAATGGTCACACTCAACAAGTTGATGGGAATAAATTATTTATAAGAATTTCATTTTTAATAAAAATTTATATCTATTGTAATTAATTAGAAGATGTTGATTTTATGAAAATAATAAATTTCAATAACAAGTATCAAAATAAGATCATAATGTATGATTTATATATGTGTATATTTTTTTATATAAAAAGAGTTTTCTATATAAAAGATATGCATATAGTTTATAAAAGAATGAAGTAAAAGGTTGTTTATCTTCTTATTTGAAAGTCAAATACTACAAACTAGTCATGTAACTACTTCATGTTCTTTATAGTTATTTTAATAAGAGAAATATGCTTACTTCATGTTCTTTATACAAACTACCACTCTCCATAATCTCTCCAGTTTTATCTTTTAAATAGTTAAGATTAAAGTAAGAATAAGTTGATACTTTATTCTCTCCTTTAAGACAAAAACCTTGTTTTTTAATAAAGGTATAAGAGATATCTCTAGAGGAACTCTATTTTGTGCTCTTGCCGTCTTCTATAACTTTCAACCTCCAACAGAGAATCTGTGACAACTGTCAAATTCCGGATCGAACAAAGTCAACAAGTCAACCGAGTCAACTCGACTAGCATTAAAAATTTAGGATAAATACTATGTTCCTAATGTTCCTAATGTACTATTGACAAATTATAATACAAAGTACCTCTCTGGTTACCAATAATCGAATATAAACCCTAAATAAGGTTAGTAACATAACAATTCAATAATTCAATTTTATATTATTATTTTAGTATAAATAATATTCATAAAACGATGTAGTGGAATTCATAAACTTTACACTACATGAAAAATGCATATCAAAGGTTACATATACAAATTTTTGGTGAATTCGTCACCAAATGCGACAAATTCTATACCCGGCTAAACGCTCATCTTTTAACGGAATGAATTTAGGAAGCAACCTAATTTTTGTGTTCATCTTTTCCCAACACCATCTTTATACACCATACATCCATGTATTACCCAACATATATCAAGACATTATCCAACATATATCAAGACATTATCCAACATATAACAATGCAAACATCACTTCACCCCACCCCTTACCCCCTACACACCCCCACCACGCCCTTCCCCTCCCCCTTAAGAGCTATGCTCTCCCTCTTCATATTCATCTCTCACTTCATCTACTTCATTCCTCCATAATCCTCTCAACAAGCTCTTCAATTCTCTCAAGATCTCTCATCCATAAATTGGTTCTTAAGTTTTTGGTAAGCTTTTTCTCATAAATGTAGTGATTTTACACACATAGATACTAGTTTTGTTACATTTACAAAGATTTATGTGTTATTATCCATGTGACAACCCGAAATTTCTATCTTGTAAAGCCATTCAATTCAATCAAAGTCAGAATTGTTTCTGCTATCTTTTGGCATTGTTAAGGGCCTGTTTGAGTGTTCTAAGTCTAGTACATTCAAGGATTGAGTGTTAGGAAGTATCTGCTAGAGTTCATTGTGCAACATTCAAGCCGAAAAACTCCAACACTTGGAGTTTACGGCCGTAAACTAGAGCTTACGGCCGTAAGCTCTAGTCTAGCCGTGAACTCCTTCCATAAGTATGATATTCCTTCATTTTTCTTCACTTCTCACACTTCCAACTCAATAACACTCATTTCTCTCTCAAGTATAATCAAGAACACTTCTATTTCTCGATAAATTTGTATGTGATTCTTCCTGTATTAGTTGATATCCTTCTTAATCTAGTAAAACCCCATGATTTCATCCGTGAATTCATCTCTTTTTGGAGTTAGATCTTCAAGAACACCAAGAACACACACTAGTTCTTTGGGCCGTAATCACCTCTTTTAGCTTCCAAATCGTAAGTATCCTTTCCATATACTTGATATTCATTAGAAGCTCTTGATTAACATCCTAGAAATAACCATTTCATCAAGAACATCAAGAGTTTACGGCCATGAATTCTCCCTTGGCCGTAAACCCTTTTCAAGATCATCTGTGGCTGTAAACTCAAGCCATTTCATGTGTTGGCCGTAAACATCTTTGGTCGTAAACACCCATGGCCGTAAACACCTTGGCCGTGAACACATCTAGGCCGTAAACACACATTTGGTGTGGCCGTGAACTCCCTTAAATCAATCATGTGTGATTGATACACTCCATTGTGAGTGATTCCTAGTCCTTAGGGGTGTTTCCAATACATGATTAGTTGTTATACACTAATTGTATGCCTATATATGTGATTATATGTCTAATAGGATCAATTTTTGTTTCGGGACTCCTTTTGTGATCTCAAGCATCCTATATATATCTTCCATTTGAGTCACTCACTACAGGTGAGTTCATACCCCTAACTTATCTTTTAAATGATTTTAAATGCTTTTATGGGGGGGAATACAAGTAGAAAACCATATAGTTGTATAATCAATCACATGTGATTTATAACTATCAAAACAATAGATTTCTTATACTTCAAAACTGTGTTATCAAACAAAGTATTTCAAATCATTTTATAAATTGACATCAAGTCATCAATGACCATTCAAATGGTTAAAACTCTTTGATGTGAATTATGAACATTGGTTTGACATGCGGAATTAAAGAACACACAATAAACACGGTGATTTCGGTGTTTAAGAGATGCATTTGATTATGTATGGTGTTACAAAAAGGGATCTAGATTTAAATCTACATAAATAACACACACTTACACACTCAATTTTACATCTCTCAAGCACACCTCCATAAGTGGTATGAACCCACCTTATATAGAGGTGTTTACATGTCTCTCTCTCACTCTCTATCTCTCATGTCACAAGGCTAAAGCACCACATGCAAGTGGGTCTACAAAAGTCAAACCATTTACAAAGTCATACATGGATAACTTTGTACCCCAACATTCTCCCCCTCAAAGTTAGGAATGGATGACCCACTTCAAATCTTCCAAAATCGAGCAACTACACGAACGAGCCTCAAGCGTGACACATGTTGAGATGAACTTCAAATCTTCAATTCTTCCATGATTCTTCAATTTGGGTTCTAGGATGTGAGACCATACGAACCGAGCATTAACGAATGATCACGAGCTTCTCAAACTCCAAATAATCACCCTAAAGTTGAGCATAAAAACTCACCCCAAAAATCTTCAATAATTCCAAACCCATCATGAACCGAAATCACTTCCGAATTTCCAATTGAATCATTTCATAAACCTCAAATACTCGAGGTCACTTCGGTCTTCAAGTTCGCGTAATATGAAAAATTCAACTTTCGAATTACCATATAAATTTCTCCCCCTTTTTATAATCGAAATTTGACTATAAAACCAATAAGGAAAGAGAACGTGCTCTATTCGGAATTTTTCTTGTCAAAACTCCCCCTTAACATGTGGCATAAACGTTTTGCTTCAATCCGGAAAATCCAAAAAATCTTCAATTTTTAGCTTCGTTCACGGACCGCCTTTGACAAAATTTCTCAAAATTGGGTAGAAATTGTCAATTTCAAAATTCTGCAGTGACCCGGTGCGCCCAAATCAGCCAAAAATGCGAAACTCTCCCCCTTTTCCAAAGCTGGGTAGACAGTGTCAATTCGCATAAACTGCAGGGGCCTGAAATGAAAATTCTGCAAATTCTCAGCTTCATGAAGCTATTTTCGAAAGTGGGTATAAACAGCCAAACTTTCGAATCTTCAGGGACCCTTTTCGAAAATTCTGCATTTTGTCCAAAAATGTCGAAAAT